TTGAGATATCCCTAAGATGTCATAGGATGTTTTGTGCTGTGTGGGTTAATGTCTATCTGTCATGTAATGATGACAGCATAATTGAAATATCGAATGTTTAGCAAGGTTGCAACCTTTACTGTTCGTAGGAAAATTGCCAGAACGGAAGGAAAAAGGAGTTTGCATATGCTACTCGAGTATGGCTTCCTTTATAAATAAAATGTAGCGGTTTTTAATCATATACGTTATATTTTTATTCAATTCTCTTTAAGATACAAAATTTTTAATTTTTAGGATTTCAATGTATTATTCAAGTAAACTTTGTAGAGTTTATTAATATTTGTTCGTAGTATTTGATCAACTCTACCACGTTAAATCTATCGAATTCCAGCAATTTCTCTCGCGGTTATTTACCCCTCGTATTGCGCAACGCACGATCGTTCGTTATCGCGTCACGATAAAGCATGAGGCATCAACTAAATTTCTTATCTACTGCGTCCAGTTAATAGTCATCGAATCACGAGCAGATATAACTTTGTTTATTTCCATAACTTTATTATCGATACTTGACAGCTGACGAGTAACCAGAAAAATGTATCGTTATTTAAATGTAAAATCATCAAAATATGATAATGATAATTGTTATGCAAAATGATAAAAAATATCTCTAATAAAATTTCTAAAAACTAATATTGCAATAATTTTAATTTAAATCTATTTGTGTTTCTCTTTCTCTCTTCGTTAAACTTAAATTGTATGTAATTGTATGCAACAAATGCACTTAAATAAAATATTCTTCTTATTTAGTGTATTTGTTTCAAAAGAGTGGCTGTATAAATTTTTACCTGACTTGAAAAACAGTTTTTTGAAAAATAAATTCTGCTGACGCGATATAGCTTGATTCCTCTTGATTGCATTCCTCGAAAAGAAAAAGATAGATATCATCACGATGACGTAAGTGGACCTCGCCTCTACCTTTCGGTATTGATTCACTGACGTCACCGAAGAACATCCTACGCAACAGGAGTTCTTAATCCTGTGGCTCAGCTGAAATCACATTTGCATATAAGCATTAAAAATCTCGATATAAAACTTATGAAAATAACTATAAACTACATTTTTTTTCTTTTATAAAACAATCTATGCATATTTAAAATAGCAAATGTGCCATTAGTAGATTATTATACACACTTACTAATATAGCACTATTATCATTTCAAAAAGCAATGTTTTTTATGCGATTTTAATTTACATACTAATAATATGTACATACTAATATGTACATACTAATAATATTTCTGAACGGAGTGATGCAAAGTATGGCAAAACTGCTTATTATCACATTTCTTTTCTTTCATCACTAATGCCGCTTCACGCATTTTCATGTTTAATGATGCATTCCGATTCTGCAAAAAATGATATAATAGCGTTAAATTATAATACCTTCTGTGTAAACAGATCCGTGATGTTTCTCTATCATTATGTACATCAATCTCATTCTTTTTCCCTCTCATTCAATATCTTACGAATCTTTGAATAATATTTCGTCATCCGTATAAACAATTTAATTTCTGCAAAGTAACTTATTTAATTATTGCAGCGACATCAAATATAACGTTTCAGATTATTCCACAACTCAAAAATTAATTCTTTGGGTGTCTCTTTTTAAAAAGCTAACATAATATATAATAATAATATAATATATCAATAATATAATATAAACTAATAATATAAAATAAAATATAGTAAATAATAAAATAAATATGAGCAGTAGCAAAAATAGAGCTAGTGTTGGAAAATTGATATTGTCGAAGTTTCTCTAAATTAGTTACATCCTAAATTATTGTATAAAATTATTAAACTAAATATTATTTAGTCATAATAGCTAAATAAATATCTTTCTTGCACCAATATTAAATTATTTTAATCGTGAAGCTATTCTAAAAATAATGAATGATTTTTGGAGAAATGAGTATATTTTATAACTGTCAGTTTTAGTGGAAGTTTCAATGTGCTAAAGTGTCAGACATTTGTAAAGCAAATCGCTTTGCCTTTCGCAAAGTAACATAAAAGAAATCGACGCACCGCAGTCAAAGAAGACCGGTTAAAGAACGATGCCGAGAGAGGTCGGTCGAAAAAAGAAACAAAAATTATATACATTCTTTCTATCTTTTTTCCCAAACCTTTCAACTTCCCCCCCGCATACTTCCTTTTTTTGTGTAACTTTCAACGGTCCGTGAATCCAGATACATGAGCATCCAACCGATTGCAAAATAATATCTAACGCAATCTAGTAGCCATATGCTTTAAAAATAATTTTTTTTGCTATTTTCTTTCTTGTGCGATTGATCTCTCTACGTTATGTAACAAAATTGATTGCGCTCATATATGTAAAGTGCTACTCACACTTGTTCCTATAATTATTGGCTGCAAACTTGTCAAAATACAAGTTACAATTAGTTATGAATATTAATAAATATTGCATGGCTTCGCTGAAGTGACTGACCTTTCCATGCAGTATAAAAACATATATCTCAGAACACGCTTCTTAAAATATTTATATGATACTGATAAACTTAAGAACAAAAAAAAACGAATTCCCAAAACAAAAATGAATGTAGAATCATATATGAATCATACCTTATTATTCAGTCTCTCGTTAAATTTTCACTGACGTTCGCGAGTGCGAAAGGGTCGCCGGGAGTAATCGATGAAACGAGATTGTGCAATCTGTGAGTAATTTGTTTGCACGCCGCATGATAAGGGCGGGATCTCGCAAATTATTGTTCGATCGTCGCGTGGATGAGTCTTTTAATTGTTCGATTTGCAGGCATACTTCGATCTTGCTCGACTCGCTTTTAAATAACTCGCATTAACGCGACGATCGATAACTATTACTTAATCAGTGGGTGAATATATTAGAAAGGTAACCGATTGTTTGCGAAGAAGGATCGCCACCCGACAAGGTAAAACGATCGTATCGTTTTATCATGAACGAGAAAAATCGATCGATCTTTTAATTCTTTATTGCATATGTTAATCAATACGTCTCGACAAATACACTCATTTCTCAAAAGATTATTGGATTGAGTCATAAATAACTTCCGCCGCGCGGTAGCAAATACTTATCTAACAATAAGAAGTAAAAGCTATTTATGATTCAACTCAATATTTATCAACACTAAAATAGCTTTACGATTAAAATCATTTATTAATATTTGCGCGAAAAACACATGATTAAATAATATCTTAATTAATAGATATATATTTGTAGTAATTATATGATAGAACAGAAGAAAATATAAATTTCCCAAAAGTAGCTTTATTTTTTCCCTTGATGCTCATCTTTGCCGGCAGCTGCGATGCATCTTTTTCACGCAGTAAATTTTCAAGAATTTATTATCGCCAAAACGCGATTGTTTTGCAAAGTCAAATAATATTCTTAAAATTAGCTCGTGTTCAACGATAAGATGAAATGGTTTTCAACAAAAATGCAAAAGCGGTAAAACTGCAAATTTATTACACGGAGCTCAAACATTGCAGACCTAATACGCCGCTCAAGGTGGAAGAAGTGCATTCTCTTAATTATTACACTTTCCGTTACCTTGCAACAAAATAACGCATTGCAAGAGACAATCGCGATCGTATCATGTTTACGGCATTATTGTGATAATGCGCGATGCGTTGCAATGCAATATTTGACACCGACACGTGTAGTAAGAATATCGCGGCAATATATACGAGTAAAACAAGTTTTAATGAGAGCAAAAAAAGAAGGAAAAAAATCGAGCAAGCGATTTCCCATCGAAAGAAAGCACGTATCGACGTTCATAACGACGTCAATGTTCGATTTTCCGAGAAACTCTTCTCGTTACAGCAAATTGCGTTAATTCTCGGTCTCAGTTCAGCGAACGAATAACGCGCCAGTTAAACGTAAAATTGCTTGCTTGCAAATTCATATCGAAATTTAAATTTGCGTCACGAAGACATATTTTTGAAAAAGTGTAACAACTGAATTTCACATGAGCGAACTACGAAGTGACTGTCAGACTGGAGAACGTTAACTTGTCGCCATTCGCTTCCGCACGTCAACTCGATTCTTAATCCGCCACGTAATAAACTGTAAATGAGCAACGGAGGAGTACGCACAACCTTCTGCCTCGTGTAGGATACGATAGCGATGGATTTATCAGAAAGATTTTTTTTATCGCTCTCAAGGTTAATAAAGTGCATGCTAGTTAGAAGTACACCAAAGCGTTAAATCTTATGCGATCGTTAGAACGCGCGTTATTTCTTTTCGAAAAGCAGAATGCACAAAACAGATATCTCAGACCTCTCGCGATGCCCGCCAATGGCAGATTCCTGAGATTGTTTAAAGATGAAAGTTTTAACACCAAAATAATCGATTTTAAAAGTTTAAAGTTGACTAAGTAGATAATCTAAAGTTAGCGCGTATGCAATGCAATATTGATGCTCTATTTTCGATATTTTATGTAAACTGTGCGAAAACTTATGCAAAACCGATTCGAAAATTTAATATTTTGGTTAGATGTTAAGATTTTCATTTCCGAATATTCTCAGGATTTTGCCAAACGTCACGAAAAATCCGAGACATCCTATGTATACGAATAAATGCTCTATAAATTTTATCTAAAAATTAATATTTTACTTAAAAAATAAACAAATAATCGTAAAATTTTGTTAATGCATTGTCGAATAATATCGATGCACACTAATATGCGTAAATAATTAATCTTGTTCCGTACAATTGCATTGCAACAGATAAAATTAGACTGGATCGTGAGAGAAAGCATTTATCATCATCGTTTACTACGTTATTATCGTGAATTATTATCGTGTTTTTGACACACATTACTTTTTGTCTTATGACTTCTGTCATAAGACAAATAATCGTAAAATTTTGTTAATGCATTGTCGAATAATATCGATGCACACTAATATGCGTAAATAATTAATCTCGTTCCGTACAATTGCATTGCAACAGATAAAATTAGACTGGATCGTGAGAGAAAGCATTTATCATCATCGTTTACTACGTTATTATCGTGAATTATTATCGTGTTTTTGACACACATTACTTTTTGTCTTATGACTTCTGTCATAATCGCATCGACGCAATTGGTGTTGCGAGAGTTACAAGATTTTTACAACCGCGCAACCACACGCCAATATATAATAATATAATCTCTGTGGCACACATTTATGCGAGAATATGATAACACAATTTGTGTACAATTTTGTGTTTCAACTCAGATAGCTGACTGCTGTAAACAACGAAAAGACAATAAAATTAGCAAGCGCCATCAGTCGAGACGTTTGTTTTAAAAATATAAATATCAAGTTTCAGGATCTAATTATAACAATCTAGAGCTTGTATCTTGCAATTGGTCTAGTTTGCTAGTCGCTGTTCTATTCACACGTTTAAATCGTTTAACAACAAACTAAACTCCAATTAATAAATTATACAATGTTATCAATTGTAACACAATAAAACACAACTACGCAAGCAGTCCGCGTGCTGCTATCAGTTAGCGATAAATATTTATTTTATTCATCCTCATTTATTTTTATTTAAATTTACAGATACAAACGCGAGTTTATTATTCAGAAGAAAAGACGTTATCTTAATTTCACTTTTTCTTATCTCAATCAAATAACTTTTTAATTTTTCCTTCTTCTGCACGTTAAATATCTACTTCCATTTGCTCGTTTCTTTTAATCCTTATTTACCCCACGGAAGTCGGATGGAACGGCGCCAGGGGCGGCCGCTCGATACACCATTCCAGGGGTGGCACGGTGGCGCGGTTTCCTTCGCCATTCATGTACGTATAGAAGCACATACATACATACCACAAATATGTGCGAAGCTTGTACAACGGGACGGACGGGAGTGAGCGACGGTCATTCAGAGTCCGACCAGCGCGTCGTGCACACTCCGCGCCTCCGTCCGAGCTCGTCCTCGTGCTATCTCGTGCCGCACGTCGTTAAAACGATAAAATCCGCGCGAGCGACGAGGTGACACTACCTCGCGGTGGTTCGATCGACCGGAGGACAGAAAGAGCGAGAGCCCGACGGTTCCGGAAGAGAAATTCGCACGATGGCGTCTAAGTGATCGATCCCTAAGTTCGCAGTAACGCGCGCGCGAATTTTCTCCCGAGTTTTTCCTCGGCGACCCTTAATTTTCGGACAATATCCCGCGGCAAGGATTCCAGACGGACGTGCGAACATCTACAGGTGAGAAGCGAGGCCGCGGCCGACGCCGAGACACCGCGAATTGTCGCGTCGCAACGCGTGCACCGCGCTGCGCATTTCGTCGCGATGTTGAATGAAAAGTCGCGCGGAATCCCCCGACGTCGCCGAAAAATGTTAGGCCAGGGGGTGGAGTGTACAATATGAGCGCAATATCGGTGGCATCGTCGACAGGCTTGCGAAAATGCAACGTGGTGCTCGTACCCGGCGGCGCCGCGCTCTGCGCAGCATGGCCGCCATCCGAGGGTGCGTTATATCAGAAGGGCGGTTTCGGGTGTGCGTAGTCGGCGGGAGAAGGTTAAAGGGTGAACTGTGTATCACGGATCAACGCGGAAATTGCGAGAAACCCCGTAATTCTACGTAGGCGAAACGCAAAAGCTACGAGCAATTGCGTCGATATTTCGCGACTTTGTCGTTAAATTATTACATTCGCTCTCGGTGTATTGCTACAATGTTGTAGTAAAAAATAGACAACCGTTTCGCAAATTTATTTCATATTTACGGATGTCCTTAATTTTTTCAAAAGCTTTTTCAGAAGACAAATAAAAAAATATAATTATTGTGAAGTTTTAGAGAAATTAAAGTTTCACATTTAATAATGAATACAAATTATCTCGAATAGATATAATTAAAAACGCATAAATATGATAATTAAGGCATATGTAATTTAATTAATTTTATGAATAATGAATGAAACAATATTTGAATTTCTGACACAAACCCATTAAAGCAATGTAACGTTCAAACGTTCGCAAACAATTCGCATTGATTTCTTCGCAAGTTGATTGCGGTTTTTCGCGCATTTGGATGCGACACGTGTAAAGTATACAACACACATCTTAATATCGATTATACTTTATAAATAGAGAACTTCAGTAGAAGCGTCAAATGTTTATTATCTTCTGCGTAAAAGATTAAACAAGTTCGTTAAAACTTGATCTTTTGCCACTAAGTGTTACAAATTTTTACGCCTTAAGTTCAACGATTCTTTACTCTACTTTTAGATAACAAATCGTAAATCAACAATAATTATCTTTGCAAAAATAAATTGTTCGAAAAAATCTTGCTCCAAAAATTAACGCGCAGTTTACTGAGAAAATGTTACATATAAAAAATGTGATAAAAAGATATATTTAAAATTAATGGTGAAATAAAAATGTATTTTTTTAAAGAAACAATGGAGAATATTTGAAGAGTAAAAAATTATCCACATTTGTAATAAAAAACGTAAAAATATGTTCACCAACTACAAGTCAACTGAAAAGTGAAAACGACGTTAATTATTATTTTTAGATAACGTTTAATTTTCACAAAAATAGAATTTTGGTGATTCACGAAGAGTTATCGATCGCTTTACTTCCGTCTTCTTTGTTAACTTCATATATCCGTGCATGACGTCACGAGCCTCTTATCGATATCCAGCGATAAAGAAATGAATAACGAATGTTCCTATTTGGTCAATTTGACGCGCTAATCTTGCCGCGTCATTATCTTGCGGGAGCGAAAACTGCGTTCGGGAAACCCGGTCGGCGACCCACGTGGTCTATTGATTTTCTTGTCAGCCACCACGCTCGCTCTTCACTCGCGTTGCCGCTGGAAACTGGCCCTTTCGCCATCGTTTAACGAATATCGCGCTCTCAAGTACGCGAACTCGAAAAGGTACTCGAGAGTACGCGAAAGCCAAGAGTGTATACGCAATACCGGAAGTAATGTCACTTGTCAAATTATGCAAAGAGAGCTGATGCACTCTTGCGTTTCGCGCTCGCAATTTTACTCGACAAATAGTGTCGGTCTACGTCGTCTTTTAACCGAGCTATCTTATCGCAATTTTATGACACACAAGCACTCCTTTCTTCCCAAAATTCCTCACTATTTGTACAGCTACGATTCTTCGACTCTGACTTTGATAGATATGATACATTTTAACTTTGATTTTAATATCACCGATTAAAACATCTTGACATTTAGTAACTGCGTTGTCGTTAATTTTCCTTGGAATTTTCCTTGCTAAAGATTTAGCAAGAATTATTTTAAAATGTTTCGAAATGGCTACCATTGTTTTAAATAGAAATTTTTAACTACAACATTAAGCTCTAAAAATAGAAAACTGACTCCGACTCGACCTTACTTTTCGCGAGAATAATTATCTAAGTTTTTGCACGTCAGATTAGCAAATTTTTACGTTCCGTATTAAAGAACGTGACTTTTGTTCATTGCGGTGACAAACTTTTTACGACAATCAAGATGTTATTTTAGGTTCTTTACAGAAAACTCTCAAGAATAGAACAAAACGATTTGTCTTCTCACATCGTAAAAGGCATGTCATCGTTCTACCGACAAGGTAATCGATGCCAGTGGTCTTTGCTCTTGCAGCAGGTGTCTTTAAACACAGTTCACATCAGACCAGTACGCTGGTAGGCACAGAGGTCGAGTCAGGATCAATAAAAAGCAATGATGCAACATTCGGTTAGACTTTCATGGGTACCATGTCGCGACCTTAGTCAGCACGCGCTAGAACTGTACTCGTGATACCGACGTGATCGTAATAAACTTTGTTCATAATAATATTTCACACACACACACACAATGTATCTCCTACAATAATATTTTATATATATATATATCTAAAATTTATAAAAATAACAATAAATTAAAAATGTTGTGACAAATTCACAAAATGGATAAATGTAAAGAAAAAAGCATAAAGATGCGTGCATAAAATTTGCAATTTGTAATTCTTTATTTTTCTGATTTGATAAATCAAATTTCTCAATTATGTTTAATGAGTTAAAAAGTAATAATTAAGGAAATGGCAGAGTAAGCCTAAATTACTGATTGGATCATAACTAAATCTCGTGCGAAAATCCGTTAGACTAGCGAAATTGAAAGGAGGGAACGGTTTCGTGGAACGTCGTTGGCATGTCTGGTCCAAAGTGGTCGGCATTTAAGGACCGGTATTAGAGAAAAGATTCTAGATAATGCCTGTAAGGCGCGGACAAAGCCTCTCCCAATGCTTGTTCACGAATATCTACACACACGTATGGAACGAAGGGAGAATTATTAGAATAGACGATGCGTGTACG